AAATAGATTAAACTCACTTCTTCTCCACATTTAAGCAAACTTTTCTTCATCATTGATAAGAACGATTTTTGTTTTTTTTCATAAGACTTGAATTAGAAAGATAATTATTACTTTGTTTGTCTTTTTTGTTAATGAATAATGATATGATTTGATTCGTTATATTATATTGAAATATTTAATAATCTAAATATTGTTCGCACTAGAACAATGTTGACTATTGGTTGAAGATAATTTATGAATAAAATCTTATTAATCATAATGAAAAAGTCTCGTTATTTATTATTCTCTATTTCGAATTATCCAATGATCACAATAATCCAAGTCAGTAACTTCTATTGAACATATTCTATAACTTATTTGTTATAAACAAGTTCATTTTTTTCTTGATTAATCTAATAAATGATGACTATATTCAATATATCAATACTCATATTTATCTTTTATTTATCAACTTAACAATTTTATTCGAATCTTTGTTCGTTTTGTTCATCTGAAAAATGATACTTTTTCTTGTTAATCATTTTGTTTAAATAAAAGATCGATTTGTTGAAATATTACCTTATATAATACTCAACTAATGTTCACAATTTTCAAATTGTTAAAATAAAATAAAAATTTAAACAAATTCATCATAGACATTGAGATAACAAAATATATTTTTTTCATTTAATATATTCATTCTTTAATTTTAAATGATTAACTTGAATATTGAACGATAACATCAGAAAATCTATTTTGTCAAACACGATCTAAAACGATTGTTGAAGTATTTACAGGTAGAAATTTCCATCCCTCGTCCCACAGATCGGGACAGATAGGACTCACCTGTCATTATAGACTCTTATAGAAGAGTTCAACGAAATATCAGAGTTGATCTATGACGAACATATATCGAGTATTACCCTCTTCAAACTCTATTATGTAAGGTTAACTATTATGAACGAATCTAGCTCAATATGCATAAAAAGCAACACCTTTTACCACATCGTCTTTGACATTTTAAATCTCGTATATCGTCTATCAACTTGACAACGGTAAACGACGAATTATTTTAATTCTTTATCATATTTATATTATTTAACTGATATTGATTATCAATTGTTATACGAATGACATTCATCTTGGAAAATATAATTGAAATAACAAAAATATTTATCGTCATACACGACCAACATCAACAATTATTTCTGATATTAAAAAAACTAAAACAAGGAAAATATATTGATAAAATGAGTTATTCCGATGAGGCTGATCAACGATCCACCATGTCCAATCAATAACACCAACGTCGAATAACAAAAGTAGAGAATAAAAATGATAATCAATCAGGTGCGGATGATAGAGATCATGATGAACAGTCGTTTCATTCAACTTGAAGTCAATGATCTTTGTTTGTCAAGAAGATCCTTTAGTTTATCATCGATTATTCTTACTTAATCTATTCCAACTCAAAATGATGGTCACCTCAATGATTGAAAGAGTTAATTATTTATTTCAAATCTTTAGAATTAATATATCAATATTTTATCATATAAAGATAATAATTGATGATTGAAAACTAATTATTGGAAAAGATATTCAGTCATTTGTTAACCCTTTTTAAGGAGTCTGAAGATTGACGTTAGAATTAGATTTATCTTTTATTTATCAATATAACTCCAAACATTTTTTTAATCCCTATGATTAAGAAGTAGTGAGCTAACCTTTTAGAGTCATCAAAATTATGTTTGGATCGAGAAAATTGATCTTTTTCGCTGCTACACCCTTCTTTAATGTATAGACTATATTATAGAATTTTTTTTGCATAGAACTAAAGGTAAAATTGTTCTTGACAAAGTGATATAAGACTGAAGAGTGTTTGAACTGACTTTGGAAATCTGTTTTCCATAAAAATCGAGTTGATTAATAATTAATATAGGATTGCCCTTTCATTTTCTTGATTTGAAATAATTTTCTCTCCTAAATTGGAAGTTCTAGAAAACATTTTGAGACCTTATTCGAAAATAATACAAAACTCTGATTGTAATCGAATCTTTTCAAATTTTTGTAGATTGATTTAAAAGGCTGAAAAATGAACGAATATTTTCTCTAATTACTTTTCGATCACTCGTTATATAATATTCTTCTCCTGTCAATTTGTGGTCATTGGTTTTTTTTTTTTGTTTATCTTTGATATCCTATCAACTGTAATAGAATATCTATTATTTCCTATTATAAACACGGCTACTATTTTTCATCAGCTAATAGTTAGTCTTTGATGTCTCAACGATTATTTCAATCCACTCGGTTTGAATCCATCTATAAAGAATATCTGAGAAAGAAAATGGAAATCTATATGGATCTTCGGACATTTCCTAGGAATATTTTTTTCTTTTTTCAATAAACTTTGACGTTAAATTAATCTGAATAGGATTTTTAAAGTATTTAATATAGAAATTCTATGATCTCTCATAAATCAATCTATCAACTTTATCAACTGTTAAATCTATATTTTACTTATTCGTCTAATATCTATTTACAACCGAGAATCCGATACTCGGATCTCGCCAAACGTGATCCAAAATAATTCGACGATTCACTTCTCACTATATTCTGACAATTAATCTTTTTGGCAAGAAAAATGTTTTACACCGGACGCTCAAAGTAGGAGGAGATCGATATCGGACAGGTCTCGACTGACAACGATAGAAGATTCGAAAAAAAAAAAAAAAAGAATACTTTATCGTAGGTCTTTATGGATGCGTTCCTCTTGGTTCGAGAACTATGGAATCTATCATAAACAATAAGCGAAACGATCTCAAAGGATAGTTTATAAATTGATTATGATTTCAATTAAAACGGATACTTTTTCGATATTAAAATCATTGGTGAAATTTCTTCAAGAGTGTTTAAATATAATCTTTAATTAATCTATCTGATATATGTTATCATTTTGAATAGAAGATTGAATATCTAAACTGTTCGTTATAGTAGAGTATACTATATTATAGAATTCCATAGAATATAAAATAAAAATATGATGAAATTTTTTCGTTTAGAATCACTTATCGAAAATTGTTTTCAATCGAATAAAACTAAAAAATTGAAACAAAAAAAGAAATCATCAAGATTAATACTAAAGTTCCGACTCCGATAGAATATCAACAAAAAAAAACCGAAACTTCAAACTTGAACAATTCGTTTAAAATAAATCGTTCGTTATTATATTGAATCAAATTGAGCATCAGATGCTTGTATACTTTGTTATCAACCAATTTATTTCGAAGAATTTCATAAACAGATAAAAATAGATCTTTATCTTAAAATAGAATCTAAATAAATGAATCGATTTCTCTCGATTATCAATCTTTTACTCGTGTAATCAGAGCTAAACGACGGCACAAATTATCGTTTTTTTCTTTTATTATCTTATTAATAAATCTATTCTTTAGAAAAATAAAACAAAGAGTAATAAACTGTAAATTCTTTCATATGTCAACCATACTTACAAGATCAACAAGAATAACAAGAAAAACACGGAGAAAAATGAAGAAGAATTTGAATTTGAATTCTAAACGAAAACGTGCTCGTATTAAATTTGATGGTACTCTTTTTAAAGATACACTCTATCATTTATCATCTATAATAGAACACATATAAAACATTTTATCAAAAAACTTTATATCAAAATAGATGATATTGATCAAGTAACACAAAGATTTTTATTTTTTTGTGTACTCAAAAAGTGAGTACACTACTAAAATCGGTCAGTGTGTCCGGCCGTCCGTCCGTTTATTCGATAACGTTTGAAAGAAGAGTCCAATCACGATGAAATTTTCTACACAGTTTAGTCTTAACAATGTCTCGGTCGAGTTCGAAGATGAGAAGGATTGGCCGAGCCATTCCCGAGTTATTGCAAAAATAGTCATTTTTCCCTATGGCTTTCTATAGGAAAATCGACCTATTCCCACTTTCGTAAAATACTTTCCCTATCGTAGTCAAATGAAACCCCAACTATTATATACCATTCGATAGAGAATTTCAAGAGCTACAAAATGGTATATAAAACATAAAGAAACAAGAAGGCTAGCTCACCTATTGCAAAGATAAATAAACCAAAATCGGTTCTGTTTTTGTCTGCGCTCTAATCGGTCCACAAATAGAGCTCTATCTTCCGATCACAGAGATGATACTTCGAGGTTTTCTGGGATGGAGAACTCGAATCTGTAATTCACTTCACTCGAAGCCCCATTGGTTGAGCACTGACCAATAGAAATCAAGTTATAGAAAAAATGCCTTTCTTAGGATAACTCAAGGCGAAGAGTCCAAATCTAAACTGTATTCACCCTGAAATCCTATTGGCTGAGCAGTAGCCAATAGAATTCAAGTGTTTATAGAAAGGATTTGCCAGGCTAACTTTTATATCCGCACATTCTAGGATGACCGATTTGTCTCATTCACTTTTTGAAGTACACATAACTCTCGGATTTAAATCCGAGGTTTCCACATTTTTTACTCATTATTTTCAATGATTTAATCGAAAAGTGTTCTGTCTATAAAATATGAATCAGAGTACATTAGAAAGTATTTATACTTATGTACACAATTTATTTAATTAACAATAATCATTACAAACACAGAGTTTGTATAAAGAAACAATTTATGCTAATTGATAAACACACATGTAACCCCAAACACAATATATTTCAAGAATATTTCATTAATGTTAAAAAATGAGCTTAAAAATTTTCAAAACAATTTTTCCGGCGGAGGGAGGACCGATCCCTGTAATCCTCCCTTGTCTGCGTCACTGTGTGTCAGGCACCCTGTTGCGTATACAAGTACTTTCGATTGTGGCATCAAAGATTCAAAAACGAAAAGAGCTGAAATTCTTTCAGATTTTTTCCTTGAATATATTATTGATTTTATTCAAACAAAAACTGATATATCAATAAAAAGAATTCTAGTTTAATTGATGTTGAACAGAACAGTTTTCCGTGACATTCTATTGGACGTCGATTTTATATGTAGATGCGTACAAAAGCCTCTATTTCTTTTCGACAAACTGGACATATTCGAAGTGAATGATCACATGGAACACAAGTTGCCAAATGTCCACATGGAAGACATGCAAGGCGTTTATCTTCTGTTAAACAAAATATACACAAATTCGACGACGCTAAATCCGTTGTCGAACTAGCTTTTGTTTCAGTTTTTGTGTGATTGTCGATCATTGCAATTGTTGATTTTGATTCGATCGTGTTATTAGTATTCGATGAATTTGATAAAAATGGTTCGTTCGATGTTGACGTGAACGATGATGAACTGAATTGTTCTATCTCGCGAATCATCTTCATCTTGATACTCGGTACAATAATATTTTCTTGACGACCATTGATATGATCGATTTGTTTTTGAAGAATAATACAAGCAATTAATAAATCACAATCAGTAGCAAAATCATTTTCTAAAAACAAAAAAAAGAAATAGAAGAATGTAAATTTAATTGAATCTAAGATTCGAACGTTTTAATCTTAGTTGATCCTTCGAACAACGTTTGATAACTGATAATTTGAAATTTCGATTGAGTAAACTTTTTGAAATAGGCAAATCGAGTCGAGCAGCAACAAATCGTGACAATGTGTTCTCATCAGGAATCATTAGTTGAGAATTGTTCATTCGATGATCGTTGGAAAAATTTTCATTTCTCTCTATTTGATTTATTTCAACATGTATCATTTCTTCAATAGAAAAATCAACAAACCTTGATGAATTCGTTTTGATTCTTGAATTTTTCGATATAGTTCATCATCACATAATTGTTTAGCATAGGCACAAAGTGGAAACCAACGTACATGTTCAATCAATGGATTATCTTTTGGACCCCAATTTTGAAGTGATCCATTGCAATAAAAACAGGTAACAATTGTTTTTGAACCAGTATAAAAAAATCCTGCTCGAACAAGATCATCTATAGAAGGTAAGTCTTCTTGAGGCCAAGAATTAAATGATGATTGACGTTTTGAAATTTCAACATAGGTTCGATGAAATGCTGATGCTTGAACTATTTCATTAAATCGCAATCGATTAGATCGTAATGCTCGATTATTCGAACTATCATTAAGAATTGATGCAGTTGATGTTTGACAAGTTTTTAAAATAAATAAAACATATGGACATAGAGGTGAAAAAGTTTGATGTACTTCCTCTGGATCATCAGTATATGGTGTCCATTGTTGACAAATTAAATTACAATATAAACAAATGACACGATCACCAACATTACAATAAAAAAATCCAGCCGAAATCATTTGTGTTCGAGATAGTACTTTCTGATGAGGCCAATGTGAAAATGTTCGACAACGAACTTCTTTCATTATCTCAACTTCTACCAGACAATGATTGATCTTTTGATCGATTTTTTTATGTTGTGATAATTCAAAAGTTTGATTCTCTATTATCGAACCATTTGAAGAAGAAAAGTTCATTCGATTCTTTGATACAATCGATTGAACGAATGAACAATTCGGACTTTGTTGAACATGAATAGTAAATGGATTCATTTGTGTTGTCCATGCAGATACTTCTAAACCACATGTGAGACAATGAGCAGTATCATCAATGTCGGTGTATGTGAAACCAGCCGCATTAATAAGAATGGATGAATGAACACCTCGTTTCTTTAACTGTTTATAAATATCAACTATACGACGACAGATTTCATTTTTCCAAGCAGAGCTTCGTTTTTTCTTATCGAAATATTTTAACAAATCAATATCTTTTCTTGTTGATAGCATTGATAGCACTATAAACAATGGTTTACTTTTGAAATGTTGGAGTGATTTCAATGAGCTTTTTCTTTCGCTTGTTTCTATCAGAAGAAAGTTGTTTATCTTAATATTGACTGTATGTATAAATTAACTCACTTGGAAACGAGACTTGCATACTGATTGAGAAATTTTTCAATGATTCATTGCAAATAATACTGGGAAAAATTGATATAAGAAAACGATTGGATATGTTGACTACTGCGTTATTCTAAATGCCACTACTCAATTTATATTTTAATTTTGATATTTCTGTCCTATATTCCATTACAGTGATATTAAAAAAAAACCTAGTTGCTATAAGAAAGTATTAAAATAACTAACTGACGATTATGGGAGACCTCTAGTCATACTTTAGTGCCATCTACAGACTGTAAATCATCATTGGCCTCTTAATATTGCCAGGAAGGGTATGGGTATAGGATGTGAGTGTAGGTGTGAGAGTGGATACGACTCTCTCTTGAGTAGCTACTCGCACTCACACCTACACCCTACGAACATATGAATAGCTATCTAATGAATACCACTTATCACTTCAGATTAGTCATAACAGCAAGTTTAATTCTGATTGTTAACTTAAAATCTGTCCGAGTTGAGTATGCTTGAGATGGATAGATATTTACCTTGGAAAAATAAAAATAAAATTATTAGTTGATATAAGAGTGTGGGTGTAAATAAGAAAAAGTAATACATCCACAACCCTCTTTTTATCTTTTTATTTATCGTTTTCATTTTTTTCTCTTCTATCTTTCTTCTTGCTTTTGTTCTTCTTTCTTTCCTATTTCATGCTACTTCCTTTTTTCTTCTTTTTATAGCTTATCTTTCATTATTCTTTTTGCCTGTGTTGTGAAAGTGTTATATTATAGCCTACTGCCATATCGATGAAATTTTCACGCATATTGTTCTAAATTCTTACATGCTGTGATTTGAAACCATATTTCCATACATCTATGTAAACGCTTCCAATCGTAACAATAAATAGTCTATTCAAAAAAATTCCTACGAACTATCAAGCATTTAACAAAATGTTTGACAGTGAGGATTCTTGATGATGTTAGTCGTTAGGGAATGAAATAATGTGTTCCGATGTAATATTATTTGTAGCAAATCTAGTATTTTTTTTTTGAGTTACTGGCATTCATCTCTACATTTTGATTCGATATGAATATTGACTTCTTATCAGTTACGAGAGGAACACTTGTACTATCATTATCATCATTCATGCAGACCAGATATGGACACAGTTCGATTCGCAGCTTGTCAAACCAATATCGGTTTCGGTTCGGTTTAAATTTTAAAAAACCCGAACCGTGTTCATGTCGGATACAGGCTATCTTCGATGCCTAAATAGACGGTGAAACACCCTGTTAATAGAGAAAAACAGCACTTTCGAAATATTTAGCTCATTTTGAGGTGTAACACCTGCTTAACGAATGTTGAAGGATCAAATGCATCATGGTGCATCCAATGCAAAATCGAGCAAAAGAGATTTTCCAACGAATTATACTTGTGCGTAGTTATTTCAGATTTGAGATTACAACATGAATCAGCAATGCAATAATGAAGCACCTTTAGAATTACGTATTTTGAATTCACACAGCTATTTCGTAGTATAAAGAAAGAGCTTACTCATTCGCCATGCATTTATTCTCATGACTGAAGCGAAAGATAAAAAGTCGAATATCTTACTCATACGTGAATATTCATGAATATTATTCATAGGCATTGCATCAGCCTTAATAGATAACGCTAAATGATCCAATGATATTATTGACATAATACCAATGATGAATCCTAGAGAAAAAAAGCAACATCTTCAAGTTACCTTTCTCATGATCAGAGAAAGCTTCATTCTAGCATGTTTTGAGCAAAAATTGACGAGATCAACAGTACAGGACAGCTGAATTCGTATTGTTCAGTGTCACAATGCAGAATATGATCGAGTACATTGAATTGGCTCTCATGTATTCATCATCAACAAATAAATTTTATTCAAAGTGTTGGTTCCATTGGAAACCTAGTGAACGAGATGATTTGTTCGATATTGTATTAAGAATCGCAGAGAAATCATTTATGTGATTGGTGTTTGGGTTAAGGCGAGTCTGCGAAAGATGCGCACGACGAAACTTGCGCACGAGCGTGTGGATAGGATTTTGGAAATAAAACGGACCCATTCAACCTCACTCTCACGCTCACATGCCCTCGCCCTCACTATCATCTACACCTGCACCCTCACCCTCACTTCGCACCCTCATCCGCACGCTCGTGCGCATCTTTCGAAATCCCACTAAAGAGATGGTAAAGTAATTATCTACAAAAGAGAAGGGAGCAAACAAGTTTTTATCTCCATTTGGACAGAATTCACATAGCATACGAATCCAACCCTGCACTTGATACTGATAAGCACCCATGTTAATTGCGCTATTATATTTTCATCCAATGCATGTGCCAGAATATTACTAATCGCTTATCTCACAAAATATATTTCGTCATTCAAAATCTAAAATCCATGCCTTCATCTATATATAAAAGAGTCTTCGTAGTTGCTCAAATATTTCATCTATTACAAACGAGCAAATTCGGGTCCTCGTAATCGAGACAAAGCAAAACGACAATGCACTTGCCTCTTGTTCATCGTCTCATCTTACTATTGATTATATCAGCCATATGTCAGGTAAGTTTGTATCATCATCAAGTATTTTTATGTTTGAATGATTTTTCTTTCAATATGATTAGGCTAGCACTACAATCGGATGCCATCGATCAGGTCCCATTCGTAAGTGTGGATCTAGGACCTGTGGTATAATCGGGTATGTCGACTACGACTCCAGCTATCCATGTGACTGTTATATTATCGAGAAAGGCGTTGGTACAACTACTAAATGGTATCGCATCAACTTACCCAGCGGAGCCCACGGTTATGTAGACAGTCAGTTTTGTGTGGGCCATGTCAAGTTGTGTTGATGCTGTCTACTGAAATCGAAACTCTAATCATGCTATTTTTCACACTTTTTTGGTGAAATATAAAATTATTTTAATAAATTGGAATTATTTGTTATAATACTTGTATATTTTGCCTGTCTATCATTTGTTGAGTTGTTTGATCTCTTTCATTCATATGCAAATAAGTTTCTTCATCGAATTAGAACTCGTGCGATGCACTCTTTTTTGGTAAATGATCTGGAATCCGTCGAACCTCATTTTAAAACTCGCAATGAAATTTTCTAATCGAAAATGAATAGTCAATCTGAAGGTATGAGATACCTTTCTCCGGTGAGTGGCACTCGATCATTAGCGCATCCAGCACATTCCACATGCGACTAGACCCATCAAGTATAAAATTTTTTAGAGCCGGATTCGGTTAATCAAACATTTTCAGATTAATACCCGGTTAAAAAACTTTCAGACCTGCATCCAACGTGCTCTCCATCGAAAAGTGCCAGAACAACTTTTCAATATATGCTGTTATACAAAGTCAATGTGATCTTTACTTTCAGGCACACTACCTAGATCGCAGAATCCAATAGTCGAATTCCCGGAGCAGTTCGACAACTTCCGATGGGATTCTATCAGACGTTGTCGGAATCTTTGTCACTGAAATCTGATGGAATCCTGTCGAATTTATAGCTGAACATTAGACCTTGTTTGACACCCCCCCCCTCATCCCCTTCCTCTTGTGTAATTAGATGCAAATTAATAGCTCAAATTTAATTTATTTCAACATATTATTATTATCAACTATTCAATAATAAATTTAAAAGGAAGTAAAATATAATAAAAGTTAAAAATTAAATTAAAATTAAAAAAGATAAAATAAAAATAAAACACAATAACGTCGATCAGAAAGAATGCCATAAAATAAGAAACAATAAAATGAAAATAAAAATAAATAAAATAAAATAAAAAAATTTATATTCACTATTGACTGACTTCATGTCGTAATAAAATCTAAAACAAAAAACAATTAAAAAGAAAATAATTTAATTCGAATAAAACTAAAGTAGATGATCAGAAAGTAAAAAAAACAGATTTATACTCATTCGGAATTGACTTCATGTCGTAATGGAAACTGAAATAAAATAACAAACAATAAAATAAAGATAAGCAATTTATATTCACTGCTATGGTATACTGTCGGAAGAATTAAAAGACGTTTCTTTTGTGTTTTTATCAGCAAATGTACTTCTCACTAGTGATATCTATAAAATATCTTGAACCAACAAATAAATCGACAATATTTTTACATAATGCACCTGACAACTGAAAACGACGCAAAATTACTATATGCTCGTTACTGATTTCAACATACTTTTACCATTTTGTCAGCATTTCTTTGGTAAAAATTATAGAACGCAGCACAAGCGAAACATTTTTGATCTAAAACATATGTTTACAGAAACTTGCCTGGGCTGAAATCATAAACTAAGTGCATCATCTACTAATAAAGTGTGAGTCATATAGGATCTTACAACATACTATTAATTAATTTCACCTTTCACCAGAATCTAAAAGAGAACAAAGTAAAAAAAACAACAAAATGAAAATTAAGTTAAATTTAATTCAAATAAAATAAAATAAACTAAATGAAATATATTAAATAAAAAGCGATCCTTTTACGCTACATCACCTCACGGCATTTGATTGGTCACAGAACGAGTAAATGTAATAATACCTGAAATAAAATAAAAATAAAATAAAAATAAAGTATCTATAGATATTTTTCTAGCATCGGATTTCGTCGGATCCGATAGAGGGAATTTGACCTGGGTAACATTTCCGACACACTATCGTGCATAGCATAGCAAACCAAAGCAAAGTAGAAATTCAAATCTTAATAAAAGTTGTATTTCAGCACATGTCTGTGTTCTTGCAAGATTTTTGTGAACTATTCGGTGTATAAAAAATACATACAAGTGACAAGAGCCAGTGAAATTTGAGTGTCTGGGCAAAATCTTTTGTTCCATATGCAAAGCTGATATTCAATCGAATGGTATCATTTTCAAGCTTATTGAATGCGAGAGAAGACTGGAAAAACAAGGTTCATATTTAAAAAAAAACACAAGAATAAAATGAGTAATGTATCATCCTTCTCTCTGCTAGGCCAAATACGATGTTACTTGCAGAGAATCATGCTTATTAGTCGTTTGAATTGCAGTATGTCATGCCTTATTAACAATAAAAAATAATGCTGAAATGATCACACGTAATGTACACACAATAAGAGAGGAATGATTCAAATGTCAATAGTTAGTTAAACGTGTGTCAAATCTATCATTTGAGTGTGACATTATCATAGTATTAATAATGCTAAGTCTTCTGCATGTAGTATGCTTTTTATGTGCATTTGGTGGATTGCAATCAATTTTTTATGATACAGATCCATTTCAATTTGATTGTTTGCGTTACTTTTCAATCGGTTCACATATTTTCGGCATAATCAAGTATTGTATTCGTCCAACCAATGATCAGAATCCAAGAATGATCGATTTTTTCAATATAAGTCATCAAAATTTTACTTTCGACGAATTACATCGTTTGAATGTCACTTCATATGAAGTCCTCTTATGGTCATCTTCGATCGATCTTGCTGAACGATATCAATATTATATCGATCAATCGACTAAATCTATTCGATTGAATGAACAATTTTTCAATTGCACACCACCATGGTTTGGTTCTCGTTGTCAATATTCTTTCGAAGTAGTATCGAATTTTGCCGACGCGAGATTAAATGTTCAATGGAAATCTCATATGACTGATGCTATTACTCATCGAACATGTTACATTCTACTAGAATGTGATCGTGGTACTGCATCAATGTGTCTCGATTGGCGTGAAATATGTGATGGTCGAATTGATTGTTTCAATGATGGTATTGATGAGAGTCAATGTTTTGAATTAGAAATCAATGAGTGTAATGAAAATGAATTTCGATGTCATAATGGATTATGTATTCCAAAACAGTTTTGGAACGACGAAAATGACGAGGCCGAATGTCTTGATAAATCGGATTTATTGCATATACTTGATTGTCCGGATATCTATCTTCAGGTTTCCATTTTTGGCTGTGCAGAATATGCGTGTCGACCCGATGAAGGTCAATTTCCATGCGGCGATGGACAATGTGTAGAAGATTTTGGTATATGTCACAATGGACGGCATCTCCTGTTAATCGAATCGCTCAGTGTTCAAGGAAACCTGCCATATGATTGCTGGATAGCTATAGCTTGTCTCAGTAAAATCACCGATCAAGTTAATGAAGTATTATGTGAACAGTTCGTTAACCTTTCTCAAATTCTTCCTCGACTAGAAACTTGTAAATATCCTATTCAATTTCCAACTATTCCTGTACTTTTAGGTCATGTACGCTTTTTATACCATCCGAAACAGATTTTTAATATCAGTATTAAATTAGCTCTCGTACCCGATTATGTTTGCTATGATGAACAACTATGTGATTTTCTCATACCTACATTTCATCATGAAAATTTGACTTGTCGATATGGTCATGAAATGGGTCTTGGGTCGGATGTCGAGGTAAATGACTGGAAATCAATCATCGACTTAGTCAAACCCTATTTTCGTGGTTGTATCACGCGACATTATCACGATATTGACGCACATTATTCATCGCTGTATGCATGCAAGAATTCTTCGAAATATATTTCGAAACATCGACTCGTTGATGGTATCTCAGATTGTTTTTTGAACGATGATGAACAAATGTCTGAATTAAGTTGTTCGTTGGGTCATCCGTATCGATTTAAATGTTTTAGTGATGCTCAGTGTCAATCAACTTCGTTGCTAACAGACGTCTGCCAGATTGAAAAACAGAA